AAAAAAAAAAAAAAAAAAAAAAAAAAGAGCCCATGTTTCACAGAGTAAGCTCTGACATTCTGAATACAATACCATGCAGGTCTTTAGCATTACCTGGATTTCAACTGACAAATTAAAGAAGCATGGTTGATATTTGTGCTTATGTCTTCTGCCACCTTGTGCCTAAAAGGTTTGCTTTTTTACATGGTAAACTTACAGTTTACTATCATATTGGTAAGGTAAAATCAGTTTCTAAAGCACTTGTCGGACTTCTGATGGTACTGTGGGCAGTAGCAAGGAAGGGAAAATTATGGAAAATGAGTTTTAACTTGACAACCATTTTATTTTAGTTGATTTGTTTTTATTTGTACTTAGAAACTTGTGATTTTTTTCCTGCAGTTTTTGAATTTAATAAAAATTAAGAAATTTGACTTAGATACACTTTCTTGTAATTCTGTGCTGTTTGTATATAGGTAGATTGGAATCACAGTCTCTTGTACCAAAAATTAAAAAGTATTGCATTTAAGAAAGACATATTTATGTAAGAATGCTTGAATGTATTTGATTATTCACTGGAAATCATAAAAAGTTCGGGAAACCTGTTTGCTTTGCATCCGTTATACTGTGAGACCAAAAGGGGCTTTGCCTCCTAATTTTATCTCTGCAACCTTTGTATGAGTCAAAAAAAGTTCATTTATGCCCTAGCAGGCAGTTGCAGTGTGGTGTGGAAAGCTGGGTGGGAAAAAACGTTATTCTTGCTGCTTTGTTACCTCGTGTGGAAGTTCAGCTGTCAGCCCAGCCCTCCTTGCCATCATTACTGCTTGAATGGTCTGCACAACCATTGAGAGATCACGGGATGAAAGAAAGGGAAGACGAGCAGGAACTGCAGCTGTAAGTCTGTTCTAACTTGTGTTGTTCTTTCAGAGCCCTGGTTAAGGGTAGCCCATTCCCACTCTTCGGGGTGTGGGGAGGAGACTGTTTCCTTCTAATACCAAGCCCAACATGTTTTCCCACTAAACTCATCAGATGCTGTGAGGTCGTCTAGTCCCTGGTGATTTCTTTATGATGGAGAAAATACCCAGGGGTGTCTCTGATAAGCGAGCGTGGCATGGAGAAACCACAGGAGTGTCAGAAACATGATAGTAACATCGGCTCCAAAGTAGGGGTGGTTTCTTAACTTTCATGAAGTAATGGTAACTAGATCGTGGCCATTGAGTGGTGGTTTGCCACTGGTTTCAGTGTGGTTAGGATTTAATCCAGTAAATTCCTGAAATGGCACAATTTCAATGGTATGTCCAGTTAGTACTGCATCTTGTACAAAAAACAAAGTTCATCTCTGTCAAGAGATGGATACAACATTTGACTGTGTCCGTAAAGATCTGCCTATAATGGACATTCAACCAGTGGGCTGAGTTAACAGATCATTTCTTCATAGGTGAACAGAAGGAAAGTGGGAAAACTCTTGTGTAATAGTGTGTCATGATCCAGACAAAGCTGAAAGCCAGTGGCTTACCAGGATGTCTTGAATTATGCACTGTTGTGCTGCGTGCACTAGAGGAATAGTGACACTCACATGTTCCTTTCACAAGATGTTCTGCTGCTTCAGAGCAGACATACACAACTAATGTCAATATTTGGTACTTCTGAGGAAGGAGGAGGAGAAGATGGTGGAAAAAGGACTGGAAGTTGAAAGTCAAGATATGGTGAGTTGCTAAAGCAAACTTAGGGCTGTGTGTTTGTGTCCTCACTGGAGATTTCAGCATTCCTTCATTTAATTTAATTTAATCTATTATTTATGTCACCGCACTGAAGGGACGGGAATTTCTGGCAGCAAAGGGTTTGCCTTAATTGGTTTGCCTTTTTATCGTTATTATTTGTGAAAGTGATACCGTAAGTGATCATTCTCAGAGTGCTAGATTTAAGCAGGATTGGGAATTTGGTAGGTCTTTTTGACTTGGGCAAGGATTTCTAGTTAATCCAGTTACCCTTGGAAGCCAGTAGTTGCCTGACAGCCGAGTGCTATCCGTTGTCTAAATGAGGCTGCTGTGCGAGCTGTCAGCGGCAGCATTGGCTCTGTGATCCTTCTGTTCAATGCCTTTACCTTTTTGTGTGTCCAAATCTCACTGAGAGAGGAGGATTTGCAGCAGGTACATTGCTGCGGCGGGAAGGCAGGCAAGGTAGGTAGGAAAAGGGGAACAGAGCAACCAAGGTAGTAAATCAAGAATGTGAACAAAAGCCTTTTCTAGAAGGGGAATGGGGAACGCAGCCCATTTCCAGCTTGGTGGCTTTCCTGTACTGGGAGTTCATTCACATGAGTTCATCTCTGCAGTTTGTGGAAGACAAAAAGAAACTGCACCAACCAGCAAGAATTCATTCTCCCATCTTGCGTTGGCAGTTTTCCATTCAGTGGAAAGGGTGGTAGTTCTGCTGAAGCAAAGAATCCTTTCCCTGCAATGACGACAACTCGCTGCCGTACTAATGGCAGGTATCATCTCACTGCGGGGAGAAAAGGCAGAAATACCTGGACTTTTCATGTTGAAAGGTGTAAAACCTGTTGACTCTAGTTTTTAAGAAGTTGAATTGGCTTTGTCCTAACTAGTTGTCAGTGGCTGCGTTCATCATAGGGGTTGTTCACCTGCTCTGCCTTCAAATGGTCAAAGTAACGAGTGGTGGCACCCTAGTAGGTAGTCATCTGGAGTGCGAGCTGTAAATATGTTGACGCTAAATATGGAAAAGCCCAAGTGCCAGGGTTCATATTGGGCTGAAATGAGAAGTTGTGTGAGTAGTGTGAGGTTTTGTGGCATAATTTGGATTTCCCGCAAGGGCAGGCGCACTGGTAGGACTTGTCCGTTAGGGGTCACTGAAGCTCCGCCAGTGAAGGAGTCTCCTGTTGGATTAGCGATCGCTTCTCGCTGTTGCCTACTCGGTAAATGTCTCTTTTCTCAAAACTCCTGCGGCTTTTCCAAAGCAGCGACTTAAAGCATAATAGCGGCGAAGAGCTGTGGGCACTGAAAAGACAGGCAAAGAAATGCACGGGTGTGTTGTGTTGATACAAGGAAGGAGGGATGGAAGGATTAAAAATAGAGAATTTTCTTTCTGGATGCAAAGTTGTGGTTGTTTAAGTATCTTTTCTGACAGAAGGGATATTTTTAGCGAACTTGCAGTCATCTGTATGATAGATGCAATTTGTTTGATTGTGCTTCTTGAGGATCCCCTTTGATGACTTGTTCAAAAATAAGTAATTATACAGATGGGCCTTCTTCATTTCCTAATAAATTAATCAAAACGTAGAAACCCCTTAGTGTGATTTATTACTTGTATTTCTATTAGGACTCACAATATATTTTTTTTATTCTTAGAAGTGGCCCTAAAATCTGTTCTTTTTACTGTTCCTTGATTTAGGTGGTGAGTGAATTCTTGGGTGAAATTATTTTTCCTTCCAACTCTGGCCAAAATATACGTAAACTATCTCTGATAAAGGATGTTTTTCTGTAAAATTGTAAAGGTAATATTTTTATTTTGATTTTAAGTACTTCACAGGTCCAATTTTATTCTTCAAGGATGCTTCAGTTCTTCAGTTCTATTCTTCAAGGATGCTTTTCTGTCACAGAGGATAACAGGGTCAGTGCTCTTAAAAGACAGTTTTATGTCAGTCTGGGTAAGTGTGAGCCCTTGCAAAAGAATCTGGTTTTCTGTAGATCCTAACAGATAGCTATGAAACATTTCATTTTTATTTTATTTGTAATTCTAAGTTTTTATTTCCTGAAGATGATTTTGGCCTCTTAGAAAGGATGAATCCTGTTTGATGTTGGCTATGATTTTTGTTGTTATGAGGGAATTAAGATGCTTTTTTAGATTAAAATTGTTATGTTTTCCTCTTAACCCTTCATAGAATCATAGAGTGGCATAAAATTATGGGTCCCTAAAAGCTGGCTAATACTGAAGAAAGCAGGCAGTTCTCACTCTGAGGGACAGTGATGCAAATCCACGGTAGCTGTGTAAATTGTCCAAGCTTGCATGGAAGGCAGTAGGGCAACCAAAACGTGTTACCTGCCAAATTATGAAATTACTTCCTTTGTGCTGCAGGTTTCTGACTATAGTCACTTTTTGGAGGACACTGCAGCTGCTATTAATGTGGTTTCTAATGACATGTCAGGAGGGGGACAAAATCCGAAAAGCTGTGATAAGCACTGGGAGAAAGAGGAGACTGAAACATCCATCTGCAGCCAGTGGTGACCTCCATATACGAGTATGGTTTTGTTTGCTCCAATGCCGTTTTGATTTTTAAGAGCAGAGGAGTGGAAGAGACTGCTCAGGCCTCTTTAATTTAACCCCCCGTGATTATAGACAACACAAAACAGAGGGGTTTTCACCACTGTCATCCTATAATAGACAAGGATTAAAAGAAAATAAAGTTTTTCCCCTGCTGGGTAGAAAATCTTGATGGTAAACTTCTGCTGTCCCTGAGCTTGATGAATCGTAATAGCACAATGGATTTTCCTTTGGAGAATTGGTCTGATTGCTTGCATATCTTTTTTTGACCCATGTGGGTCATTGATGCCTGAAATATACTGCAGTAGTAAGTTCTACAGCATAACCATACACTATGGGAAAAGGTGCTTCCCCTTCTTTGGAACCTATTATCTGCTAATTCCTTTCATCCCCCAGCACTCTCTTGCCAGAATAAACAGGGAACAATTTTTTCCTGTTTACTTTTTCTTGCCACCCATAATTTTAAGATCCTTTATCAAATGTTTCCATTAGTCATATCCTCTGCTGTCTTGACAAGTCCTAATATCTTCAATTGTTCCTGTTGTTGAAGCCATTTCATACCTTTAAACGTTCTTACAGCCCTCCTCTGTACAATTTTTTCTATTACCATCTTTTTTCAAAAGGCCAGCACTGCATTCAAAAATGTGGTTTCAGCGTAGATTTACACAATAGCTTTTTATCATTTAATGTATTCAGAAGAGGACATTTTCTTTTATCCTGTTGCATCTTAGTATCTCTAAGAGCCTTTGGAGAGCGATGGTGTTGAATGGCTTTTGTATATCCAGGTAAATTAGATCAAGTGGATCTCTCTTTTCATGCGGTCTATGATGGCAGGATATCACAGATATTATTAGATCTCCAGTGTCATTTTCTACATGTCTTCTATTCTTTGATTACAGTAGCTACCAACTATCCCATGTTGATGTCAGTCTGATGTCCCTTAGGGAACTCTTTTTAGTGGAATGTGCGTGGGAGGGCAGGCAAGATGGGTGGGTTCTACACCAGAAATGTACAGTCATCACTCAAAGGGAAGCACAGGCAGGTTGCACTATTTCTGTCAGTTTAAGTACAGATTGAAAGCAGTTTAAAAGCAGGGAGAATCTCCATGTTGACACATTTAGAAGTTTACACTTGGTTACGTTTAACTTGCACCGTTGGCATTGTTCTGGGTGCAAATCTGTACCAAAATAACTCGCCTTCACAGGTTCTTGTGAACGCTGTGCATCCAGACAAGGATTACTCAAAATGGCAACAAAATAAATCTTAATTGAAATCAGTTTTTTATTCTCAAAATCTTATTATGGGCAAAAATGGAGACATACCTTATATGCAAAGCTAAGAATTTCTTGTTGGTCTAATTGAAATCTTAGTAGACTTAAATAAAACACATTAAATACTTTTCACTGTTAAAAAAAAAAGTCAGTTTAAATTGTTGCAACGAAACACACACAAGCATACACACACTGGTGGAGTGTAAGGTTGATGTCTTTCTCCTTGTCTGTCATGAGGAATATGATGTTGGCAGCTTCATCACTCTAGGCTCCACTTGGGGCTATTTTCATGTTTGCTGACACACTTATACACCACCTTATTTCTTCACTGATGTACAAGTACATTGCATCCACGCTTACAATATACAGTGCATTTTACATGTGTTGGATTCTTGGGTTTTACACACAGATTTGGCAGAGTTGGAAGGGACCTCTAGAGATCATCTAGTCCAGCTCCCCTGCTAAGCAGGATTGCCCAGAGCACATCACTCAGGACTGCATCCAGGAGGGCCTTGAAAATCTCCAGAGAAGGAGACTCCACAACCTCTCTGGGCAGCCTGTTCCAGCCTGATTTGTTCTCTTTTACTCCTAACACTGGTTTTGTCCAGCTCCAAATTGTGTGTATCTTTGACCATGGCCGAGTACTTGAATCCTTAGTGTTATAAAAGAAAAGGAAAAAAAGAAGAAACATCTAGAAAATGTATCCAAAATGCCCAAGATCCCTTTTCTTCCTCTCACAGAAAAAGTCTCGTGTGACAAAAACTGGAATGTGGATGCTCAGAAAAACAAAGTATGCATTAATTGTGTTAAGGAGGTGATGATCTTCCAGGGAACCAGAAATCCTTCTTTAGCAGACACAATTGCTCTTCAAAACCACTTGAACCCGTGAGACGTCCTGGAAAGTGGTATTTATGTCCATCTCTGATGTTAACAGGAATAAGGAGGAGAAGAACCAGACAACTGCTCTAGAAAGTCAAACATCAGATTAAAGAGACGTCACTTACAACAAAAAATATTAACAAAAAGATCATACTGTTTCCTACAGATAACTGTAGGTTCTCTGTAGGTTCTTGCAAGGCATCACCACGCTAAAGCAGAAGAAAGTTGTGGATACTTTCATATGCTGCAAGTGCTCTGTCAATCTTAATGTGATCCAAAATGGTTCTGGGAATATGTGTGGGCATTGCTGGGGAAGGGATTGCTTTGGGCTTGCTCTGGTGTGGCCTCAGGCACTGACAGCCAATAGGAGTTGGAATTTGTTTCCTGTGCTCCTGAAGATCATGTGGTTTAGTTTCCCCTAGAAGAAATCCACTTCATTTTCGCCAACACAATTCTGTGATGTGAACTGAAGTGCAGTAAAAAGGGATGATCCTGATCTGAATTAAAATACTAATGTAGGCACATCTTGTATGGGATCAGAACCATGGTGATTAAAGCTCTTAAGAGGCATTTTTTAATTACTGGAGCATCTTGCAGTAGCGAAGAAAGTAAGAAATTAGGCCTGGAACCACGAAGCCAAACAAAACAAGTTAAATGCGAGAGGAATATGAGGTTGCATAATAAGTGCAGTCAACCAGCCAGTGAGATATTTCTGCAAGGGCCATGACAAGATACGAAATTTAGCGGTAAGAGACCAGGGTCATCTACACTTAAATTAGATCAAGCTGAACAATGCAAAATCTCTGTCCACAAGCCTGGAAAAACATACACTCATGGTTCAATGAGAGGGAAAAAATGCAAAGTAACTATGTTGAAAGACAAGTGCACTTCAAACCGAATCTTCTTCTGCTAACTCTGGGCCTTATTTGTAATGTCTTGATCTCTTTAGCTGCAGTTGAGGGATACTAGGCTATATAAAATGCCAGCTAACATCTTGAATTACAAAAGGCAGGGAGAAAACCAAGATCTGATTCTGCGGTGAAACCATCCACTCAGAAAGTGCTTTCCAATGCAAAAGTAATAACTGTGTGCTATTAACTGTAACTGTAAACCTAAGCTCATACGATATTGCGTTTATTCCCACTGAGTGGTTCCTGTGATTCTGCTCTTTTGCATCTCCTTAATCCATGCACATGTTACTCTATGCATTTTCCTTTCTGCTCTGCTACCTGCTGTCTCTGTGCCACATGCAATTCTTGTAAGCGTGCAGGATTATCTTTCCAGCAGTCGCTAGCACCGGCTGGCATTTGCATGCTGCTCTTATTCAGTTCAATTACTGACTGTCCACAGGGCAGTAATTGCAGCTTCAGGAAGCTAAGGTTAATGAGTAAATTGAGTTTTATGTCTTCCTGGGTTGTAAGATACTGACGGTTAAAATGCATGTGGGTAGGAGAGATTTAAATCATTGCAGTTGTGCTAGGCTGTGCTAGCAGCTCGTAAAGAAAGTCTAGGTACCTGCTGAAATGGAAAATGTTGTCAATAATGGAACCCAAAGGAGGGTGGAGGAGAGCTATCCTGACCAGTTCAACTTCTCTTTTCCCAGTAAATGGCAACAGTATGCCATTAGGTCAGTGGGGAAAAGAGAATTTCAGGTTTTCTGCCATAAAATCGACTTTTGCTATACATTGCACAAATCTAAGTAAGCATCGTAAGTAAATATAAGTGTTTGAGAGACAAAAAGTTTAAAAGAGGGTTTTGTCTCATGTAGGGGTCCAAATGAAAATTAGACATTTGCCTCCAGGTACCTACCTATTTGAAGTTGTCCCTAGAGTACATCAGTTATCAACTTGATCAACAGGCATCAGAGTTGATTAATTGAATCAGCCATCCAGTTCTAATCTGCCACCATCTAGAAACTGAATTCCACCAAATTAATATGGGGCTTTTTTTGTATATATCAGTTATTCAAAAAACTTTAGCAAGTCACTGGTTCCAGAGAAAGTAACTTGTCCCAGCTCTGCCATGAGAAGAGGAAGCGGGGGGAGGTTATGCTGCTATAATGGCTTTCTGGAAGCAGTATGCCTTTTAATAAAGCATTGAGGTTTACCTTTTCCTATATGGCAAAAGATAAGAGTAACTGAAATGAATAGGACGGAGAATGCAAATGCAAGTAGGGATGTGAAGTGGTCAAACCTCACATCTGAGATGTTGCACACCAAGTAGTAATTCAGCAGAGTCAGATCTGCGCTGCGTTGCTTGGGGCACTTAGTGCCTTGCTCTCTCCGTCTTTCTTTACATCCCCTCAGTCTCCTGTGAGGAGCTTCAGCAAAGGCTGATGAGAGGGACCTGAACCTGTTTCCTTCCCCCTCTGGCACACTGCAACCTTAGCACGTCTGGGCAGCCTCAACTGTGATCTCCCTTAAAAGCTCTTCATTAGAAGAGCTGTGTCTCAGCCATGGCCAGCACCTTGACCTCTCTCCCAAGCACATGACCCATCATGTCCCCTTCTTTCTCTTTTTACTCCCTACAAGGCTGGGTTAGTGAGGCCTCGGAAGCTCAGGAACTGCTTATCTGGGCTTTAACTGCTCAGCGTGCTTGGCCACTGTTGCTTTAGGCAAGAGAATTAGGGGAGTGTTTGAGGAGAAAACAAAGAGAAAATGAGGAAGGGATGGGAGTATAGCACAAGTAGATTGAATTTAGCTGAGGGAGTAGAAGTAGGGAAGCAAAGGAAGAAGACATGAGACTAATCAAGCAAATTTTAATGAGGTTCTGGGAGAAGAAATTGTGCTCGTTAGTATTAAACCTGCATTGTCAGCCTGTCAGACTTACTGGGAGTGTTGCCTACTTTGTCAGCACTAGCTGAGCTGAGCCGAGCTCCTGGGGTGCCCAGATGAGCCATCAAAGCAGCCTCTTGCCAGTCCAAAAGGGGGTAGCTGAGCATCCTAAAGGCTGCACACAGAAGCTCCCCAGGCAGCCCTGAAGAGCAAGCAGGGCTCAGGTCCTCGGGACAGGATCCAAGGAGCCATAGCATGAAAGTCTCGTGCACATTTCATACCTGCAGGATGGGACCGACAGGAGCCTCCAGAGCACTATTGCAATGGGAGCAGAAAAAATAGAAGGGCTGGAGAAAAAGGAAGAAAGAAGCAGAAATACTGAAATGGAAGAGAGAAACTGGAACAAATGTTGATAATAAAAGCACAGTCTAGATCTTGCCAACAAAATTGTTAGCATATGAGTGGAAGCATCTTGCAACTAGAATCCAACTGTATGTTCTTTGGGTCTTTCTAAAATATGTATGTAGGGCTAGTTTTGTGGTGGCACAGGAAACTAGCCTTCTGCTGTTGTTAAAACTGTGCCAATAACAGCAGCAAATCCGATTTTTCTATCATGGCAATATTTAACTTGACATCTCATCTGATGCACAAGACAGCAGAACCAAAAGGGGGATGGATTAATGTGGGTAAGTATTTTCTGCATTGGATAAATCTACTTAATGCCATCACGTTATACCTTCTTACTCCTCCCCTGTGGATTCACAGGCACCTAAACATATGTCAAATAGTTTGAAAAGGTTGCTGGCAATCGGAAGGGCAGCATCCTTGACCATTCACCTGTGGCAGAGCCATAATTAAGGAATTCCTCAAACTCTGAATTGGAATCATGAGTGCCTTTATTCTATTTATTTATTTTTTATGCTAATGCAACACAATAGAGTTCTATCTTGGCCTTTCTTTGCCCTCACACCCTTTTTTTTTTTTTAATTTCAAAAAAATATTGTCTATATTCCACGTTTCTTCTCTTAACATATTGTCAGATGAGGGTGCACTCTCCTAATGACTACTAGTTATTTTCTAATAATACTAATATTTCCATAACCAAATGGGTGTTTCTAAGGGAATGGCTACATGAGTGCTTGCAGCTGTGTTCAAAACATAGTACAGCCAAAGACTGTCATGAGTGTATGTTACACACCCAAAATTCAGTTCCAAACAGTGTTGAGGTTGCATTTTAAAAGCTCCTTTCAGTTCTTAGGCCTTTCTATGAAAATAAAAATTCTTCATGTTGCAGGATTACTCAATGGCAAAACCCAGCTGGAAGATGACTTTTTCTCCCACTAAAACTGTGGGTGGAGATCTGGGTTTGCATCTTTACTCTCTAACTATTTTCTATTCCTGGCCAAAGCAGGATGGGTTGGGATTGTGATCCTGAGCCTGTTTAAATAACCCTTTAACATGGGTTCTGATTTTCTCATTGTAGACACAAATTTCAGATTTGGGGTTCTGGTGTCTCCATAGCTCTTTTCTAGGCTCTGTGCAATTATATTAGCTCGTGGCTCTAATCCTGAAGAGAGTGTAATTTCATCCTCACATTTCAAAAGGTTAGTCTCTTCTCGTTAGCAATAAGGGGTCACATCACGTGTCTAAAAAAAATAGTAACATACATCTGAATTTCCTACCCATGTGAGCAGTGGAAATATGAACAGGAGTGGGAAGGAGTCATCACATCATATACTTAACTCATCTAAATCTGGCTGCTTAAATTAGATTCCTCCACCAAGTGAAGTCAGGAGGAGTCATCTCTTTCACTGTTAGGAAAATCAAGAGAAATTAGGCTCCTAATGTATGTATCAAAATATTTGATTGTATTTGATTATGTATCAAATATCTTAAAAAGGTGCTGTGAATGTCGCCTTCTGCCCAGCCTTTCAACTGCTTAAGCTGCTAACTTACTGATCCTGCTGAACTTTCAGAAGTACACCAGGATGTCTTCTCTTGGGCTCTAGGCCAACAAGAAACAACAAAGAAGCTTGAAGAATGCCAAGAAGGAAAAGTTTTCAGAAAAAAATCCAGAGCTGGAGGAGGAGCCACAGATGTATGTTGCAGCCCCAACAGTAGCTGCTGCGTAAGGAGCTACACTCTCAGCAGGCATGAGCTGCCAGAGCTTAATAAGAAGAACTGGCCATGGCCTTAATAAATATTTGGCTGAAAGACTGAAGAAGGTCATGTTTTGAAGACCTAACTACAGACAATCTGATCATGACAGGGGTAACAAGGTATTTCTAGGAGGCAAAGGTGTGACTTCAGCAGAGCCAGGTAGGCAGGAGCTGTCATGGGAAAGGACATGAACCCCATGACCCTCGCAAAGATGTCTAGCATTCCCTGGGGACTGTGGTCCCTCTAAGGGACTGTCCTTGTCATTGGTTTCAACAGCCCAAAGGTTGCAGAAACCTTTAATCTGACTATAGCTAGATGAAAGCCACTTCAGGTATACCTAGCCTTGCTGTAATGGCAACTTTGATTACAATGTAGGTATCTTCAAAAATAGAAGATCTTGAGAACCAAGGTCAGGATGTGGTTATAAGAATTACAGGCATTTCTAAAAGAACTGAGGAAAACAAAAACAAAAGTAAACTGAAAAAAAACATTGATTCTTCTGTTTTAACCCTGATGACCAACTACATGAAAATGATCTGCTGGGAGCCATCGCAGCTGAAGCCACAATAAAGGAAACATCGGGTGGATCGGCAGCAGACATTAGAAACCTTCCCAGAGGAGTGAAGAGGTAAGGAATGTAGAACTGGCCTTGTAGCTTCTGCTTTAGCAGATGACAAGCTCACAAAATCCCTAATTAAGTTTCTGTCTTTAAAATGTGATTTCCATTTGCTCCCTAAGGTTTAAAAATAGTAGAAAGATTGCAGCAGTTGATGACGCTCTCAGTTGTACTAAATTAGAGCGTAGAGGAATTAGAAGTTGCTGCTGTTGGTTTCACATAGTGATGGTCTCTCCCTTTCTTCTCGCTCTTGGACCAGGACGCTGTTCCCCGCCGCCACCCTCCCGGCCAGCAGCCACATGCCAGAGAGGCACATCACCCGATGCTCGGTGGTCAGAGTAAGTTTGCTGTCACTTTTGGATTCGTGTAGCCTTTGGAGCCCTTCATTCAGGTGTGCCTATGGGCCTGCACTTCTAGTCTTTCCTCATGCACCCTGTCTTGTGAAAGTTTTGCCTTTATGAATGTTTTTCACAACAGCTTAACTTTACTGCCTGCCGTGGAAGTCCTCTAAATTTGCACAGCTGTGAACTAACCCCGGGCTCAGGGGATCCATGTGTGTGGGTTATAGACTACTTAATTACATGTGGGCAATGCTGTCCTCTGACTCAGAAATATCTTTGCCTCGGGGAAAAATAATATCCAAAAAAAAAATATCTTGCCTTTCCCCATTCACAGACATCATCTCTTTAATATTGCCCTACATTTGTCTTAACACAATTTATTGGATAAATGGCAAAAAAAGACTATTAGTTGTTTCTACTGGAGGCTGTGAATGATAGACATGTGTGTTTTACTCCTGTTCAGTGATTGGGCATGTTTGCGATTAAATGCTCCCTAATTCAAAAGCATCTCACCTGCTCTCGATATGACGGCAATAAAAACAGAGCTATGTGCTATTTTTCTGGCACAGTTTCAGCTCTTCCACAGAGCTGAAATCGTGACCATATATTCCAGTTAGCTGAGACTGCAGGCTCTAAAAGCTCAATGTGAGTAATGAAGAGAAAGCAATCTGATTAGCTGGTGGAGCTGACTAAAAGGCACCTTCATTACAAAGGAGGATAAAAAGGGAATAAAACTATACAAAATTGATTCAAGGTAGTATAGTAATAATAGTATCAAACAGCATAACAAAGAAGAATGTCTGCATTCAACAGAAATTAATATTTAATAGATAGCACAGTGATGCCCATGGCTTTCTATTCTTCTGTTTTAATGATCTTTACCACAGCTTGAGGTCCTTTGTCTTGTCCCCTTCTACTGACATCAGCTGGAAGAAACAGAGATTAAAACAAGGGTAATTTCCCCATGGTCATTGCTTGGCATTATTTCTGCTTTGCTCAGCCATAAACTGGAGTTTAAAGGATGAAGTACTGTCACTCAAACTGATTTTTCCCTCCACCCTTTCTTACCAGGGTTAACCACTCAGCCAGTCACCAAGGAAACGTGTGGCTCCTGTGCCCGTCGTACTGCCACCCTACAGCTTCATATTGGGAACGTCACCATAATCTCATTAGGAGGTTGAATTTGCCATTGAAGCTTGAATTCCCATAACAGGAGGGGAGTGGACTAATGCAATTAAGCAAATTAGCGTTTTGAGCCATCGCATGATATGTGTCTAATACCAGAAGCAAAGACTAGGTAGTTTTCTTCCTCTGTTAAAAAAAATCAGCAAAAACAATACTCCAGTCCTCTCCCCATGTTATGTTCAGAGAAATACTTTAGTCCTCTCACAGCTGTAAAGGTCCTTACAAACAAGAAGATAATTGTTCACTTCACCAAAAACCTGAATGGCTTCCCCCTCTTTTTTCCTAATACTCCCATTCCAGTGGTTCTGATTATTTTTATCTGTGCGACATTTATGCATCCAAAGGTAAAGCAGATAAAAACAGAACTTCAGGGACTTTAAATAATAACTAAATTCTGCTAATCTAGTAGCCTGGTGTCGTTGTTTTGTTTTGTTCCTCTCATGATATGTGACAGTGGTTACCAGATCAGAACAAAATTCCTGTGAGTTTCAAATCTGTTTTGATGTGAAGTGTTGCTTAAGTGCTATGAAAAACTATTTTAAAATATGCCAAATTTTCTGGAGGTAATTCCAGCATATTCAGTAACTATCTAGAAATGCAGATTATTAAACACGTAAAGCAGAGCTTTTCTGCCTTTTGTTGCAGGATTTGGAGGCTAGTCCAGTTCCCTCCTCCCTCCCTCACCCTGCCAAGTAAACAAAGCAGCAAGAGTGAACTGTAGCGAGAATCAGGAACCATAAATCTCTGAATAATATCCTGGCACATGAGTTTCAAAGACAGTGTATTTCTCTGGGAGCCCGGGGGAGGGAGGGAGGGAGCAGTGGTACCCTTCTGCAGATAATGATACCGCCTCCGTCACAGCGTTTCTTCCTGGGGAGGTGGAAGATGAAACGACACGGAGGGGATCTAGGAGCCCCTTACATTTATCATTTACCAAGGATGTTACGCCGCTGGCTGGTGGCTGTTTTCAACTTCAAAAGAGAAAGGCAGGAATAACAAGTGTGTTTTAGTAGATGTTATCGTGCTACCACTCATCTTCTCCCAGATAAATCCCAGCCTGCCACTGGGCACTACAGTCAGGAGAGAGAACATGGGTTATTACTAAATAAGGGCATTGGTTTATACTCCCCACTTTATATAATACAAGGTTCCTATCCTAAGCTGCTTACAAAATAGACATATATTATGTAGGCAGTATACATAGTCCCAAAGGATAGTGTAATCTTAGCGTTTTTGCCTGAAAATGCAAGTTACTTCAAGACTGAGCCGGTACTGAGAATATCTGTCACAAACAGCGTAGAGTACAGATAATTCTGTTGTTATTTGAAAAGTGTCATGAAGCTATGTATTTCAGCAGTCACAAACTCCCAAAATGTCAGAGCTGAGCTGGTACTGAAGAGAAATCAAAGTGTGCTGAAACAGAAAATACAGGATTGAGGCTCACAAACCAAATGACCTCTGCACTGTGATGGCAATAGCCATACAGTTTGGATTAAAGTATTTAGTATTTATGGTATCAGATTAGATAAGAAAAAAAAAAAAAAAGAATCAATGTTTTTAAGTATCTTTTTTGCTCCTGGTACCATTACGTGATAGAACCAGGGGATGAAATTATTTCCCCATGTAAGTTCTTACATAACATGGCTATAAAGTAGTCGTGTTTTGCCTATTTGTTTTTCCCCTTTTATCATGTTTGGATTTAAATGTAGCCTTAATCCTGTATATCCTGCTTTGAAAAGCTTAGATCTGTAATGTATTGTATAGTATTCCTTAAAAGGCTTTGCTCTGTAGTGTGTGGTAGCCTTGAGTTAACAGTATAGATTTCAATTCTCAACCTTATACTTGATAGTTTTGCTTGGATAATACTTTTCATTTAATACAATGTACAATCTCAAATATGCACGCTAATTGAGGTCCACCAAAAAAACAACAAAAAGAATAACATTACTTAATATCACTTATTAGATAAAACATGCAGTACCAACACAGATTTATGGGCAAATTCACCAAGATACCAAAGAACACAAAATAAAGCACCCCATCCAGTAATGCTGAGTTTACAGCTTGTATTTTCCTATGACTTTTTTCCCATATTCAGAAGAACTTTACCAAGCAATTGAGACACAGCCTGTGAATCTAGCCTCTGGCTTTAGAGTTGATCTCTGAAGTTGCAGGAGTGTTACCTTGAGACCAGTATTATGTGGTGAAAAGCAGCAGACCTTGAGTCTGAGCCTTCGTGATTGTAGCTCAGAAGTAGAGAAGCGAGTAGCTGCCTTGTCTCTGATCTCACAGTGACCACTGAAGAGTTACCTGCGCTCTTGTCCTGAACCTGCCCATAGTCTGTACAAGCACAGTGATTAGCCAGAGCAGCATTTAGTAACTGAGCAGAATGGAAACCTTATTTCTCCCATTGTATCCCATGCATGATACAAAAATGGATACATATGCCATCATTCCTAGTCTTTAACTAATTTTACATCAAGCTAATCAGTACATGTTCTTGACAATTCTTGAAGGCCAATGTTGTGGTTTAACCCCAGCAAGCAACTAGGACCATACAGCCACTCACTAACTTCTCTCCCTCCCCAGTGGGATGGGGAGAAGAATCAGTAAAATGAGGAAAACTTGTGGGTTGAAATAAAGACAGTTTAAGTATGAGGAGCAGAAAAGGCAATGACTGCTTGGCAACAACTAAAAACATTACTGTATTATCATTATTCTCATCCTCCATCCAAAACATAGCACTGTACCAGCTGCTAGGAAGAAAGCTGACTCTATCCCAGCCAAAACCAGGACGGGCAAGCACCACAGTGTGCCTTTTTTTTTACAGAAGAAGAGATTGAAGCCATATTTTGTATTCACCATGAAATGCAACTTTATTTGGACTGCTGTCCCCATGGAAGATGGATGTTAATTGCTCTGGAAAAGGTAAGATAGGAGAGCACTGCCAAGCACCCCTCACCAGCTTTTCCTGGTCACCGTGTTTATCCCACACTGGGGTAATAGTTATCCTTTCCCCCCTCCTTCCCTGTTCTCTTTTGGATGGTATATTTCATGATGCTGTGGTTTTCCATCAGATAAAGGTTTCAACAGGTAGTTTACACAGCTCACCTCTACTACAGATCAGGCATAAATGTACACCAAAATGCAGCCTCGCAGCTGCATCTCTGCCTTGACTTAAACATAATGGCATCAAACTCTGCAGGCCTATGGCATCTTTCTTACTCCTAATCATATTTTATGCTTGGAAAGAAGCAGGAAGCATGGGGAAACCCACAAAGATGGGAGGATAAGACCGTAAAAATTATACTGCAGGCAAAAAAGATTTGAAGAGAGGAGTCACATGTCCCAAAGGGCAAAGGTGATTTTGATACTGTGAGCGAGCAGGAGGAGTTAGATGACAAGAGAAAGCAGAAGATGGAGGTAAACAAAGACACAGGCATGCTTCAGGGAAAGAGTAGTAAAGGAAGAGAAACTTAATGCCAAAAGTGAACCTGCCTTTTTATATTCCGAGTGTTGCTTTCTTTCACGCAGTCACATCAGCACAATAGGCATTTGCCTAGACTGCAGGATCCATTCATATCCTTTTCATCCCTTTGGGAGATGATAAAATATTATGTGGCTTTGCCTCCTGAGATGGTGAACTCTTTTCTTAAGTGGATAAAGGATGGTGTACGGAATCCAAAATTAAAGCAACTAAAGAGAACTTTGAAGTTACAAATGATGATAAGGTTAAGAATAATTAGTGACAAATGCTGATTTAATAGATGTTAAAGAGCCTTCTAGCGCTTCAGTGGAGAAAAGAATTGTTATAAAAATCACTGCACATCTCTGGAGTGTGGCAATGCAGGTTCTTAGTACACAAGTCCAAAAGACAGGAGGATGCAAGCTGTTGAGTGGGATGCAGAGGCACGGCTGGATCCGGATCCATTGCTGTTGACAGCGAGAAGGATGAGTCAGGTGTGTATTCTTCTCCATTCAGGTGATGGCTCTCCTACGGTGATATTTTACATTATTGTTCACTGTTTATTGCTGAGGGGAAGTGCCCCAATTTTTATATCAACTCTTTGCCTGAATAAATCCTATGTGCCTGCTTTTTGGGAGAAACAACATGGATTCATGTAGAAAAGGTGACTAACAGCAAAGCAGAAGGGTGGTGAGAGGGGGAAATGATAAAAATAATGGCCACTCAGTGTTCCTTTTGAAGAAAAGGCTCTATTTATGATGCAAATTATAAAAAATTAATGCATCCATGACAGTGAATCTAAAATGAGAAGTGGCACAAACATAAACTCACTGTTGTTAAAATGCAACTGCACTGCTGTGCCCCTCGTGAACCGCTGCGTTAGGCTGGCACTCCTCAGGGCAAAGCTGCTGGCCCTCGGAGGGGTGAGCAACTTCTGCACCAGTGAACACAGACAGCAGAGGGACACCCTCAGGAGACACAGGCCCATGATGTGTGGGGTGGAATTTTTCAGAGGGAAGCACTGTCAGCAGGCGTTGTGCATCGTTAGACCTCGTTAGGCCTCCGCTAGCCCCTTCCTCTTCCCTGCCCTCCATTGCCTGGTTTCTTTTCATCCACTTGGAGAGGGCACATGAGGGATGGGAAGACAGGGTGGTACAAGGCATTATCAGGCCTTGCCAAATATACTGTAATGGGAAATATATCCTAGACCTAGAGGCATTTTATTAATTGTCAGAAGGTAATTTGATTTGTAAGGCTGCTTCTCTTTTTCTTCTCTTCCACATTCTTTCCCCTTTCCCCCCAAATTCTCAGCTTTGCTGTGTGATGGTAGATTTACAGAAATCTGGGTGTGTAATAATTGGTTATTACGGATAACCAATGCTGGTTGTCTGTAATGTGTGTGAAAACAGGCTCAGTACAGACCTTTACAAAATGATGAAAGGTCAATCAGTTTCTCATCTCCAAGTTGTTCTCAGCACACACAGTTACGATGTCCATTACCTGGGGTTTTAGATGTTGACCAACATAGTTTCTTACTTTTTAGCCACCGAGTACTTCCTTTTCAAAGGAAACTAAAGTTATGTTCTTAACTATCAAAATCTGTCTTGATCATCCTGATGAAATGACAACACTAAAGAGGTTCCCATGGTAATGGATTGATCATTTGGCATCCTACAAACTCTCTGAGCTTCTCTATGGTCTTTCTTTGGTTTTCCTTCAAAAATACTGTTTTTACTAGGATCAATTCTCCTCCATTCCACATTTGTTCCTGTTATTTTTTGAAATGTCATTTTATATTTTTTAGCTTAGTTTTTCTTATTGCTGTTAAGCTCTGATGCAGAGTATATGTTTTAGCTTATATTTTTAAAATCCTTTAGAGTTCTTTCTCATACAAAACAGGGTAAGAAAGGCTGATCCATGTTTTGTGTCTTACAGCTTTTCTCTTTCACTTCCCATAATTTAGCTAATTTTAAACTTCTAGAAAACTCTCTCTGTCATATTTAATAAATGCATAAATTAAGGATGCTCTGGGGTTAAACACAGAAATCAGTTGGGATTGCTGTTTTCAGATACCACCAACCTGGAATGAGGAGTCAGGGCATGTGGTTTGAGATCTTCCCTAACAAAATGGCAAGAATTTGCCATAAATAAATTATGAATTGAGAATTATTCATAACAATTACATTGGCAATAACTGAAACAAGTAATGAATTTTGGAAAACCATAAATGGATCTTTTGCTTTTTGCAAACATACACAAAAGCTATATATGCTGAATATGCTTTAGAAATAATTATTCACTCATCTTT